CTGATGGATTGAGGGCTAGCTCAGCAAGGGGCCTGATGGATTGAGGGCTAGCTCAGCAAGGGGGCCAGGATTCTGGGTCCCTATGCTCGCCAATAGCAGGAGCCCTGCTCAGCCCACCTCCTGCTCTGGGCTCCCCCTGCCTCAGCTGATGGTCAATGTGCTTACCCGACTCTTCCCTCCTCGGACCCTTGGGCCAGGCTGACTCACCCTCCCTGGACTGGACTTGGCCCTTCCCACCTTTCTGATTTGCTCTCCCATGACTGACTAGTTGGCAGCACTTTGCGGTCAGCTCTGCCTGTCAGAGGAGCATGTGGCTGGACTGTAGTGGGTGGTTAAGTTAGGGAGCCTGGCTGGCACACACAATTTGAGGAATTGACAATTCATTACCTTCTAGCATTGGAGTGGGCTTCATAAGAGTATTTTGTAAATTTATAAAAAGCTGTGCGGGGCTGGAGCGGTAGCCGTGGGTAGGAGGTGCAGTGCTGTGAGAGGTCAGTGGGCAGATGGGTATGGTGGAGAACTGACGCTGTGTTTGCGTCCTGCCAGTACAGCCAGCAAGTGGAGTGACTGCGGAGTTTCACAAATGTCTCCTGGGAGGGTCACAGCGCTGACTGTCCATGTGACAGAGCTCTGGACGGACGGGAGGCAGCTCTAGATAGACACATTTACAGACCACATGTTGTGGTGAGAGTCCGGAACTCTCCCGAGATCCCGAAACGGATCGATTAGGAAAAGCAATGTCATGCCACCTTCTCTGACACACCTGCTCTCTGGGGTATCTGGACGGAGCACGGTCTCCATGTGTGGGCGTGGCTGGCAGCCTCAACATTGCCTGGTTGGACCGAACGCCCCAGAAACGGGGCGGGAGCCCAGCAGTCTGGTTAGAGAGCCTCCAGGTGCCTCTCACAGACGTGGATCTGGGAGTGTTTGGAGACATTGGTGGTGGTTTTAATGTGGGGGAGTCTGCTGGCTCCGTGGGCTGAGTATTGGGCTTTTAACCATAAGGTTGGTGGTTCAAACCCTCCAGCCACTCTGCAGGAGAAATGTGGTCGTCTGCTTCCGTGAAGATGTGCAGCCTCGGAACCTCTGGGGGGATGCCCCACTCTGTCCTTCAGGGTCATTGTGAGTCAGAACTGACTTGACCCAGTGAGTTTGGTTTTGCCATCTAGTGAGTTGGGAAAAAGGATGCCATGCGGCAGGTCGGTTCTTCCCAACAGACTCGTCCAGTCCAGCCATCGGCGGTACTGAGGCTGATACGCCTGTACCCTGTGCTGCACGGTCAAGGCAGAGACAGTCTCACAGCCCCGAACATTAACAGCAGCTCAGAAAGGGGGAGCTGTTTGTAAAAAGTCCTGTTGGGTAGGATGCCCAGGACTCAGATGGACCAGAGTGGATGATACTGACACCATGGTGCTTTTCAGTTCCACTAAGATTCAGTAATAAAAAAGGAACAAAAAAATCTGGTTCTAAGAACGTGGCTGTTACCAGGTTTCCGGGTCTGTCAGGAAGTGTATCTGGCTCTCACCTGTTGTAGGCAGAACACTGAGCTCTGGTAAAAAACAGTACGGATCCAAGGTGGACTCTTGGGGAGTCTCTCAGCTGTTCCAGGGGGTATACATCTGAGCCGACACACCCACCTGAGGTCTCTGCGTGGGGCCGAGCTGCTCATTTTCAAGATGGAGTTACTGAAGAGCGCTGCGTTCTGACTGTCCACGTGTCACGGAGTCCCCTTGTGACTGATGGACAGACACCTCCCCTGAAGCCAGGTGGACTTCTCAGTTACAGGGGCCCTGCGGGCGTCCTCACAGCCCAGTCGTCCTTCAGGAAGCACCAGATAGAACTGATTGACACTTTGTCCATCTTGTTCGCCTATTGATCAGAGTATTGGGGAGCACATGAGGGCTTGAGCTGAGTGTGGTCCCGGGGCCAGCTGGTGGGCCTTGGCAGTTGGTGGCTATCAGTAGTGTTGATGCTTTAAAATCATCTTTTTTCTCCACTCATGCTTAGGTTCACTTCAACCGCGATGGGTCCCTGATTGTCTCCAGTAGCTACGATGGTCTCTGGTAAGTGGAGTCTGCCTTCCCGGTGCCCGTGTGTGGTGTGTGCTTGTTGCCTAGAAGCCTTACTGATATCCTAAGTTACACACAGTGTACAGCACCCACAGAAATACTGCATTTTCAGTACGGGCTCCAGAGATATTTTGCCAGAAGTGCCAAGGTTTTCACTGCGTAACGGATTCACAATTCTTTTTGTCTTAACGTTGGATCCATTCGACTTGCAGTGCGCAACTGCAGCTGCAGACCACCTGCAGTACATAAACTTGTCTTCTTGTCACGTTAGACTTTGCTCTGCTTCTCGGAAGCACTGGCCGCATCCCTAGTGTGGGTCCCTAGTTAACTCAGGGTTTACGGAACGCCTCACACACGGTGAGGAATACACAAGAACCGCTAGAGATGGCTTGTTACTGCAGTACATTACTTCTTAAAAACTCACCTAGAAGTGGACCCAGACAATTGAAATTCCTGTCGATCAAGGGCCAGTTGTAGAATGGATTGTTGTGAAGTAAATTGTGTTGTTTGGCGCTGTTTAGTTGATTACAACTCATAGTGGCCCTGCATAGGCTAAGATTTCTTAGGTGTGACTGGTGGGTTTGAACCGCCGAACTTGGAGGTGGCAGTCCAGTGCTGCTTCTGCAGTGCTAGATGAGGAGGTATTACACAAAGGTGGATTGGGTGAGTATCAACTCAAAGACTGTCATTTGATTGGTGGAAAAAAACAGACTTCTGAGTGTTGTTTTCAAGCAAAGCCTTTGAAAGCAAGTTGAGCCAGCGCTGGTAAGCACCTTCACAGCCTGGGGGTTTAAAGACAGGCAGTAACCCAGGCGACTGTAAGTTGGTGTCAGGTTGGTTCTGACTCATGGTGAACCCCATGTGTGCAGACTAGGGCTGTGTTTCCGAGGTTTTCAAGGCTGTGACCTTTCAGAAGCAGATGGCCAGGTCTGTCTTCCTAGGCACTTCTGAGTGGGTTCAAACCACCAACCTTCAGCTGTTAGTCAAGTGTTTAACCATTAGCAGCTCCTGGGAATCCAGCCCTGCCCACTGGCCTTGAGTCCTAGGTGGCATCGTTGGTCTAAGCTCTCCCTCCTGGTGCTCTAGTTGCTGACCATCATCAGGGCTTTCACACGTGGTCAGGGTCGAACTGCCCCAGAGGTTGCTTGCTTAGAGCTTGTGATCTCTTAGATGCTGATGGTGGGCAAGCGCTTAGCCATGTGTGCCAACCGGGGTCGAGTGACATCATTTAAGGAGCAAGGCAGAATTTGTGAGGAAGACCTGAGATGCAGATCTCCGTGTGGGAACCCTGGGAGAGGGAAAAGAGAAGCTTCCTGAAGGAGGCAAATGGCTTGTGTTAAACAGGAGGGTGTGGGGCCTTCGCTGTGGGGTGACCACAGCTCTCCTACAGCCTGGGACAACTCTGATAGCTGCTGGACTTGGCTCGAAAAACTTCCGAAAGAAATTAGAGGAAAACCATCAACTGTAGGGGAAACTGGTGGTTTTTTTTTTTTTTTTTGGTGTGTGTGTGTGTGTGTGTGTGAAAAGCTGAATGAAGTGGAATGGAAAACGGGATGCATTCTCTTATAGCCAGTAAGCATAGCCTTTGTAAGCCTACTTAAGGGAAAAGAGCAAAATTGAGATGAGCAATGGAACCAGAGTGGGGGATAGAAACCCTCTGGGGCCACGAGTGGATGGGCAGTCCCGTTTCTGAAACCCACCCCAGAAATGGGAACGTGAGTGCTCCCCTCCCCGGAGACCAGACAAGGTGGTGGGGGTATGATGTCAGTCAGTCAGTTCCTTCTCAGCCACAGGAACCACCTATTGGTGTACCCAAGGGGGCAGGTAGCCAGGTCTTTGCTTCTTGGAGTGGCTGGTGGAATGGTCAAAGTGCAGACGTTTCTGTTACTGGCCCTTCCTGGGAGCGAGGTTAAGGTGCTGTGTGTATCTGAGTTGTCATGATTGATCGGGGACTTCGAAGGCAGTCCACAGTTCCAGACCTGGGGGGAGGAGCGAAGCCATCCAGCACACATGGCGGATCTCAAACAGCCTGAGAGACATCTGCACTTGGGCAGGCTGACTTCCAAGTTGCTGGTCAGATGCCAATACGAGGAGTCCACCAAGACCAAGCCCCTCAGTGCAGCGTTGACAGGGTTATAACCCAGCCCAAACCAGACCCGCTGCTGGGCTGTTGATCCTGATGCTCAGCGACCGTCAAGGACCAAGTAGAATGGTTCTAGAGCGTGTTCAAGGCAGGATCAGTCTTGAGCAGGGCACACGGCTCAGCTTTCTCTCAAGAAGCAGCTCATGGATTTGAACTGCCAACCTTTCTGTAAGCTCCTGGGCGCTTAGTGCTGAAAGAATGAATCTCAGGAGCCCTGTCCGTCTAATGCAGGGCCCTCCCACGTGATGTGTCAGTATTGGTCAGGCACCTGGCACAGCTCCTTGTGTGAGGACACCGTGTGTCCCTGATGCAGCAAACTGTCCATGTGGTGCAGTGCGGGTCGGGTTGGGAGAAGAGGGGATGTGCTGCTGGGAGCTGGATTACTGGAATTCCTGTGCCTTTTGTCATCCCCACGACCGAGAGTCCAGTGTCTGTCCCTAAACGTGATGTGTGCTGGAGAGGGACGGTGGCTAGGACCTGGCCTTCCGGTTCCGGGTGTGCTGTGTGTGTATGTGCGCGGTGTACCGGCTGCTTTAACCACTGGTGTGGGTTTGCATTTCAGTCGCATCTGGGACACGGCTTCCGGCCAGTGCTTGAAGACGCTGATCGGTGAGTGTTTCCTCTAGGCACAGGTCTGCCCAGATTTCTCTACTGGGGCTTTGCCTCCAGCCCCGTTCCTCAGTGGGGTGGGCTTCCTGTAACCACCAGTAGCCTGGGAAACCCTGTGGGGTGCTAGGAGTCAGATGGACTCAACGGTGGGTTGAGGAGCCTTGGTGGTGCAGTGGTCAAGCCCTCAGCTGCCCACCAACAGCTGCCCCAGGGGAGACAGATGAGGCTGTTTCTGTAAAGATGACGCTTGGGAGAGGCTGTCGGGGCAGCTGGGACTCGGAGTCAAACTGATGGCAGCAGGTCTTTCACTGTTCCTGAGGTTTCTGGAAGCCACCCGGTCTTCACGACTTCATCTTGAGGTGGTTGTGGGGTTCCCTAGCCCCTCCCTACTGCTGACCACTCTATCTGCCCCCACTAGTCTCCTCTCCGTCCTATGGGAGGGTGAGGGGCCTGTCCCCTGGTCTGCATCTCCCTCTCTGCTCAGAGGCGCAGACAACTCGGGGGACTCTGCTGCCACGCTGGCAGACATAAGCAAGGCCCTGCTCCCTGTGGGCCTAGGACCTGAACTCCAGACAGGGCTAGATGCAGGAGAGATCAGGGGGCAGGAGTCCTCCAGTGAAGAAGTAAAGGCTATGTGCTGAGGGGAGCTGAACAGGGGTGGGCAGTAGGCCAGTCTTCCCTTACTGGAAGGAGACCAAGGCACTGCTGGAGTGTGCTTGGGTTCAACTCTAGCCCTCGCTGCTGACTCTGCTGTGTGGGGTTGTGTGGGGCTAGGGCAGAAAAGTGCAGTCTCCCCACCCCACAAGGCCTCCGTGTGGGACCAGGGAGGTAGGAGTCCTGTGGTTGGCAGTTCAACATCTGGAGACAAACCAGATGATGCCCTGGCCCTCTCCGTCCCCCGATGCTCTTTGGGGGTGGACCGTGCTGCCACAGGCAGCTACGGCTAAAGAGCCTCATGCCAGCTGACCCCTGCCTCTACAGTGTTGTCGCTGAGCCCAAGGGAGCCTGGGCCCCCCGAGCCAGCCAGTGAGGCTAGGCCCCATGGTTGTGGTAATGCGTGTGCTGCCCTCCTGGCCTCAGGGCATGGCATGCCGACCCTCAGGGGTCTCTGGGCTGGAGGGACCACCTGCTGTACTGTCCGTCCCCCACACCAGGGTGAACCCTCACTCAGTGCCCCTCCCCCGTTGTGGGATCTTGGCGTGAGCAGGGGGCCCGGGGTTCTGATTTGTTGGCCACACTGGCACCTCACCTACACAGGTGACACTGTGCTCACCGGAAGGGAGAGGCTGCTGGGTAGCTTCACTGTCTGGGTGGCACACACCTGCCTTTCCCGCATCTCCTGGAGTTGGGAAATACCTTCAGCCAGTGTGTGGAGGGACACGGGAGAGGTTGTCTCCTGAGGAAATCTAAACAGCCGAGTCTTCGACCCACGGTGGGACAGCGTTCTCCCTTCACTAAGATCACGGAAAACATGGCTGGGGCTGAGGCCAGCTTGTCCCGTAACCCTCTGTTGTGGAGCGTCCATGGGTGGGGCTTTACTTCCCTTCAGACCCTTCAGCCTGAAGTGTAGCAGCTTAGTGGAGATGTTGTGGGCTGTCCTCGGGGAGGGTGGCCCTGTGAGGCCATTTTCTCCACAGTGCTGGGTGGAGGAGGGGCACCTGCCTGCGGATCTCGGGTCTGGTCAGTGGGAGGTTGTGGGGTCACCACGGTGCTGGGTGGAGGAGGGTGGAGGAGGGGCACCTGCGTGCGGACCCGGGTCTGGTCAGCGGGAGGTTGTGGGGTCACCACGG